TAACCATTTTCAGTAACTGTTCTTGATCAATAACTCTTTCTATGATCATGTTTTACAACAGACACAGTGTTCTACAACAGGATATCCACATGCAATGTATTTGGTTAAAAATCAAGTATTCAGTCAAACAGGCATTTATATAGGATATATCTTTGATATTATATGACAACTGAAGGATTATTTTACTAGAACTTAATTGCTTGTCTTACCTATTTTTTTTTATAGTACTAACATGTGACATGCATTTTCTTTATATTTATATAAAGCGCTATATGCAATGCATTTTACCATTCATATCTGTCCCTGATCTGATGCAGTTTACAATCCAATGTCCCTAACAGAGTTACAAGCCAGTTATTTTTAAATGAACCCAATATGGCTGAATGTAATCTCATTTTCTAAAAATGGAAGAAATGTAGTGTGCATGACTCTAGCTAAAACATTTTTTAGTTAAAAATAGAGAAAGGAAAGATAAGAACCTTTTTTTAGGGGGTTAATCTACTTGTGGAGTCACCAACAGTGGTTATCCCACTGGTAGAATAATACCAGCAAATGTAACATCTTACAGTTTCCACCAAAAGTGGAGGTGAGGGGAACTCTTCCATGGGGAATACAAATTCTGGTGACAACCATCCAAGAGGGGATTTCCTCTTATTTCACAGAGATTTATTCTCATCACCTGTTGTGTCACTGGGACAGAATGTGATGGGAAATCTCTCAAATGAGATACAGACAGCAAGAAAGACTGGGATAATAGTCATTTCCAGCTGTATCCAAAAGGAATGTGACATGTTTTCTCTCTCTCTCTCTCTCTCTCTCTCTCTCTCTCTCTCTCTCTCTCTCTCTATGTCTATAGCTTTGAATGGCACACCAGTTTAAATGTAAACTTGTTATCAATGTTGTCTCAGTTTGCGAAACTCATGGTACGGACATGCTATTTTGTTGAAGAGGAGGGACACAGATCTTTTTTTGTCATTTTCGTGACTCACACATATAGTCCCCAGGCAAGATAATCTCTTGGGCCAGCCACATAGGTTGATCGGGCGGTATGATGTGTGCACTGCTTCCAAACTCTAATATGTTGGACATATTAGACTATAATGTATGAAGAAGCAGACAAAAACGCATCATTGGCTCTGAGCAGAATTTTCCCTATTTTATGTATCCATGCATGTGTACATGGACACCTAAAAAGTCAGATTGAGCTCTAATTAAGTGTGTTAATACATATACAGTTTTTTTGAAAATCCAATGGCATTATATTATGTTGTCAGTTTAGATCCTACATTGTCAAAAAAGCCTCTCTGTACAACATTTTCAAGGCTAATTTATACTGCACAGATTATCTAATTGTGTTCCAATACAACATTAAATAAAATAAAATAATAAAGGGATTTTTATTTCAAAATAAAGCCTTCAGTAAATATTGTGTAAAAAGCTAGATGCAGAGCAGATTTCAATGAGCATAATAATATAAGAAGTATTCCATAAGTGTTGTGTATTATCTGATTTCATAGCAGAGAAAGTGGTATTAGAATGGAAGGAAAGTGTTAACAAATAAAACATTTTCAAACCACTGGTCTGTAACATGTAGCTTGGATATAGTTTAATTTAATGTCCAATCCTTTTATTGTGTCTTTTAATGCAACGTTTGTCATTGCTTAAAAACATGAAAATCAATAACAAGATGAATATGGCAGAGTAAAAAGGCTTGAGGCTTGTAGGTGATGGAGAAAGATAAGAAAAGATGTGGAGCGGGGCTAATACATACAATGTGCAGACAGCAGGTGAGCTGTGTACTCAATAGCCACTTCTTTTCTCTTGTTTCAGGCTGCCAGCAGAGTTCTGGACCAGTGAATCCATTCCCTATGCCAATACCTGGAGCAGGTCTGGGAGGACAAGGAGGGGAACTGTTGCCACATTTCCTTTTGGAACCTGAGGATGTATTTATTGTCAAGAATAAACCAGTCACTCTAAGCTGCAAAGCCACTCCAGCCACACAGATCTACTTCAAATGCAATGGAGAATGGGTCCACCAAAGTGATCATGTCATTCAACACAGTGCAGACCGCAGTACAGGTAAGAAAAATACATGAAGCTACAAAATAAATCAGCTACGGTATGTCTGGAGATAATGTACCCCCAACTTAGTTGGGCCCAATCTGTAGATCGTAAATATCTGCAGATTTCTGCTATTTTTTCTTTACCATTTTTTTTCAACGTAAAAAACACCCTTCTGTCCTCAAGAAACTAGCCATACAGCATTTAAAGCCGATTAAAGGCTTTAGATGTCTAGAATCAATTCAATTATTGCAGATTTTCCATGATAGAAGAACATTGAATACAGCTTAGAGTCTAATTGAACCAAATATCCAAATATGCACATACATTAAGTAGTGAACAGGTGGCTTGAAGGTGAAAGTCTTAAAGTGACACAAAACTCAAACGTTTTATGTATTAAACAGAGTTTAAAATTTCCACTCGGCCTGCTCGCATTTTGCGAGTGGAAATGAAGTGAGGGCGAGTGGAAATTCAGCCGGTGTATTAGGGCTCACACTCTCTCTGTCTCATGCTGATGCTGCCTCGCTGACAGACACGCCCACACCAATGCTGGACTCACTGAGTTTCCTTTGCTAGCAGACACGCCCACATCACTGCTGGAAGCGCCGTGTCCGTGTGTGCTTTGGATATCCCAGTGGAGCCACAAACTAACAGGTCAGATGCCGGGGGATGATGAGAAGCACTGAGCGGGGGGAGCAAGGGAGGGGGGAGGGAGGCAGGCGGCTGTGTGTACAATATGTTATCTCAAACTAAAGCTTAAATGCAAGTGCTACGCTTCCAGAGAGAAAGGTGAAAGAGAAAAGTCCAATCATCAACAAAAATGTGAATATAAGAACAACTGGGATCACAGCAAACGCAGAGTTTGATAAATATGATATTTCCTGCACAAAAACAGGGCAGGGTAGGGGTTAGGTGGGGCAACTGATGGCGAGTAACTCTTAAGGACTGGCTAGTAGTTCAGAACCTGAAATGTTGAGCCCTGTATTAAACATGCCCCCCTTTTAACACTTAAACACTATATCCCTGTCCTTTCTATTTTAAATGTTAAATTTACCTTTTTTTTATTTCACAATTCCTATGGCACGCTCCTGTTGCCCCTAAGTTTTGCTGTGACTTCCAGCGTCCACCTCCAAAAAGTGCTTGAGCGTTGTGGGAGAGCGCGCCGCTCTCCTCTACTACAATTCCCATAAGCACAGCGTGCTCTGTTCCCACTGCACCTGTGTCAATTCAGCAAGCATTCCTCCCCCTTCCCACCTCCTTTGCTGCTAATGGCAGTGCACCGCAGCTCGCTGAGAAGCAAGTACAGCAGAAACAGCCGAGAAACACAGATGATGGAGCTGTTTGTGCTCCAGAGCTGACACGGGAGCCTTCCAAAGAGTGGGAAGAATGCAGATGGGTGGGATTTGAGGGAGGAGAGAGCAGGAGACAGCAGAAGAGACTGGAGGGCACTTGAAACAATCTCCCATTTTACTGCAGTTCTCAGCGGGAGCATGCACAGAGGGTAGCTACTTTTCAGCTCACATAGGGACCATGGAGAAAAAAAGTAGCCACCCTCTGGCAGGAAGTTATTCAAATGGATGAAGAAATCCTTTTTGCGGCATTTAAAGGAAAATAATGAAAAAGTGAGTTAGCTCATTGTTAAATGACTTTATTGTAGATCTTATTTTTATTATTACATTGTTGGGTTTAGTATCACTTTAACCACTTCAAGACCAGGTGTTTAGACCCCCTTCCTGGCCAGGCCATTTTTCAGTATTTAGCGCTGCGTTATTTTGACTGACGTTTATTCCGTCATGCAACGCTGTACTGAAATGAATTTTATACCATTTTTTGGGGACAGATAGAGCTTTCTTTTGGTGGTATTTAATCACTGCTGGGGTTTTTATTTTTTACTATAATTAGAAAAAATAGGTTTTTTTTTGCATATCTATCTTCCTCTTTACTGTTGCAATAGTTATTATTATTATACAGGATTTATATAACGCCAACAGTTTGCACAGCGATTTACAATATAGTTGTGCAGAGTGTGTGGACAGCCAAATAGGGACAGTTGTTAGACCCAATTCGGAAACAATCACCAATCAGTAATAGACCTGGCCTTCTTCATCTCAAATACCAGCTTGTATGAAGAAACTAATGAGTCCTATTAGGTGTCACCATTACTCAGCTTTGTCAGCACAGAATAATGTGAAAAAGAATAGGAAATTGTATTTTCACTAAGAGAAAAAAAGGTACTTGAAAACATGTTCAAGCAAAATCAGCCACAAATTTTAATATACTGTACATGGGTAGTTGCAACTGAAGTCTAGCAGAGACATTTTACCTCAGTTGGACAGTAGGCCTACTCTTGTATCAACTGCACTGATGTATCAAGGTGCTATAAAGGGCTTTATATGGCACTAAAGTCTGCATTAATAAGTAAACAGTTCCTCAGGTTGAAGATTCATCTTTTGTAAACTAGTGGGGTGCATAAAAGATAGGGATGCACCAATACCAATATTGGCTTGCTGGCCAATTAGCATGTAGCCAGCCAAACAGCATGTAGCCGGCTTCCTGGGAAATCAAGAAGCCGGGCGGTGGGTAATGACACGCCACCCGGCTTCCTGATTGCCCTGGAAGCTGGCTCCATCCTAGTGGAAGTACCGATATCGTTACTCGGTATCGGAGAGTACTGAAAGACAAATATCGTTACTCGTACTCTATACCGAAAAACCGGTATTGGTGCATCCCTAATAAAAGATATCAGTTGTTGGTACTTCATAGAATGGTCTGTAGTAGATATCCCTTTATACAGTATTTTTCTAAAATGTATGATATGTAAATAGATATTTCAGCACCTTTTTTTTGGGAATGCACTGCTCCCAAGCCTTAACTTGGGTCACTCTCCTAGAAGACCAGGTGCAAGACACCAGTAAGGCTCATCCTCTGCCCCACACGTTGCACAAATCCAGGTTCCCTCTTTGGATTTGTACTTTTTTTAGTCTTTGAGTGAGGAATTCTTGAAACAACTGTCAGGAATTTATTATTGTTTGTGTCCCCAAGGGGAAAATTCAGCCTCACTGTTTGCATTAAACTGGAAACATACCTTTGACAATTACACCCTCACCCTCACCCACTCATTCTGTACAGAGATTGTCCAGATTGTGGGACAACAATCTAATCACCAAAAGACTTAAGGTGCCCATACACTGCACGATTCATCTACGAGAATCTACGGAAATCCCGCGATCGTACGAGAATCGTGCAGTGTATGAAAGGCGTGCGACCGTTTCTACTGTACGATTGCACGTCTTCCGTCGAACCAGCATGCTAGAAAACCCGCCGGGAATCGTACGATTCTCGGTGAGTTAGTGGCCTGCTGGTTCGACAACTGCCGAACGGGCCGGTGTGCTCACGCGCACACTGCCCGTTTGCAGTCAACGTAAGCCCGCCCCTCATTACAGTCATCGTAAGCCCGCCCCTCAGGGGGGCGGGCTTGCGATGATCGAGAGTACGATCTGCCTGTCCAAGATGGGCAGATCGTACGTTTTTTTAAGTACTTTACAACCATCGCAAGACTAAGGTCTTGCGATGGTTGTACAGTGTATGGCCACCTTTAGTGTGATCATTACTTGGGCAGGTTAACTGAGCACACACACACAGTACGCAGACTCTTCACGGATGCAAAGTTCTTTAATTACTAGTTAGAGCATTCAGAGATGCAGCTTAAAGATTTTTAAATATTGTTTTAATCAAAAATGGTGCACAACATATTCAAATATTATTTTAAATAATATAAAAGGGTTTTAAAAGTGAAAAAATACAGAGTTACTGACCCTCAGACCCATGACTACCAGTATTCCACCCAATTAAAGGGTCCAAGGAGTGGATAGTAAGTGTGCTGGAATGCATTTTATCATGCTTAGCTGACACACCCTATTACCAACTATCCTGGGCACAGCTATATATTTATATGACAAGGTTTCACAATCTAACATCCAACATATTATTTAACAGAATTAAATTACAATTTGTTAGATACCAAACATCATATGTTGGATGCATCTTTTTCCTAGGAGGGCTGACCACAGCTGACCTCATGATGACTGGTGGGGGAATAGTCAGTAGCAGCAGAAAGGTGCAGAAAGCACAGATCACCAAAATGAATGAAGCAGAAACAGGTAGATCCTTGCACTGCAGGTCTTCAGGTACAGATCTTCTCCAATAAGGAGAACATTGAGCTGCACAGTAGTGGCATCATTGAATCTCACTTCAGATCTCGTGAGAGTAGCAGTCAGAGTTAGCAGTGCCTTAGATGATCTCACACTGCAGATTTACAGCAATGAAGCTCAAGGCACAGGAAGTATACTGTTATATTTCAGCTGGAATTCAATACAAAAGGTCTACCTTTGAGGCTGCTGCCTGGGCACATTTAACATTTCTAGATGTTCCCTGCAAGATAGTAAATCTTCACTTCTTAAGTTCAGGTTCACACATACAAAAGTAGACACAATACTAAATCAGATTAATAATCTGGTATTTTCATTCACTTTCATTTAATACATTTATATTAGAAACATTTCTTTTAATCCACCCTTCTCTAGCCATTGTACTTCTTTATGCTGGCCATACACAGTTATATTTTTAGATCAACCTGCGGGCTGAACAAAAAAAATATCACAGATTCCTCTATCCACGTTAAACAGCGTAGATAGATGAATCTCCTGGTGTGTGCTTTGTATTTTGGCAGTGGCGGGGGTGCCACTGTCAGTTGGCCGCCGTCACTGTATGCTCGAGGATTTTCCATCCTGCTCCTTCGAAACTTCTGATCGAAGGATGCCAGACAGAAGGGTGGCGATAGGCGCACAGTGTATTTCATACAGCATATAGCCGACTTTGATTCTGGATCACAAAGTGATCATTACGTGACAATGATCCCCCGTATGCAGTGTTATATCTCAAATCTCAGCCTCAAGTAGTTTTTTTAGAAACATTTTAACTGTATGTTGTTGCTTTTAATGATGTGCAAGAGTAGCTAT